CTTAAAGAACGGGCAACTACAAAAGGATTTTTTTTTTTTTATATATTTTAAGAATCATACACGTATATATATATATATATACATTTTTTCTAAGATTCTCGGTTAACAATCGTAAGTTATTTGGTTAATTTAGTCGGAGATAGAAAGACCCATTCAAAGTAACGATTGGAAGTTGGCTTTGTGACGATGCAAAGCTGTAGAAAATGGTCGCCTGCGGGTTCGTCCGTGCTCCTACAGACTCTTTTGCTCCGCATCCTGGTTACTTGACCAGATACTCCAGTCAAGTCTCGTACGTGACACTCTAGTCATATACCATGGGAATCGTGGCCGCCGCAAGACACTCGACTCCAAATAATATACAATGGCTGATTGGATGAGTAGAGATGCATCGTTTCTTCCTTTAAATATATTCATTCGCTATATAGCGAGAATGCTAATCTCGGGACTGTAAGATCTCGGAAAATAGCCCCCTCTTCTGTTCAAATGACGTTCCTATTGTGCAAAACGAAGACAGTTAATTTGCCTATTTCGTAAACTTTAGTGATAATTTTCTTTCTTAAATCGCTTCAGTTACCTTTGACGAATGTAATTCTTATGTAATTTTCTAATGCTCATTCGTATCTATCTCTTTGTCGTCGTAACAGTACAATTATTTCATAATTCTGCCTTCAAAAAATAAGTTTTTACACTCGAATTTAAGGGTTTGTTAAGTTTTTCGATTAGTTTTGCGCAGAAATAGGGCCTTAATTTATTACCTAGGTAAACTAAACCGCTGTAAATGGGATTTATTTTAGTAGTTTTACTATATCCTATAGGTAATTAAGAAACGGAAATTAACCATTAAAATAATAATAATATAATACAGTTGTACAATAATTGCCCTTAAAGCAGGGAAGACAAACGGCGAAACAAATAAATGTTTATAAATAGGACTAAATCTTATTTATAAACAAGCTCTACGTGGACAATATAAAAACAAAGACGAAATATTAAAGACATAGACGCACGAAGAATTAATAAACGGCTATAATTTATTAATTCTTTTATACTTCCTTACTATATAACGATATATATTTAACTTCTGTCACAATAATAAGACAGAAAAGGAGGAAAAGGCCTCTTGTAAACTATAGTCTAGGGCCCTACTTAAAAAAAAGATTGAGATTTAATAGATCATTATTCTAAACAGTAATATTTGAAAATCATTATAAAGAACGAATCATTACCGAAAAATAAACAATTAAGAATTGAATAGGGTAGCATCATTCATTAAATCAACTGTTTAATTTCACAAGCGAAGTACTTATAGTTGGAGATGGACAATACCTAACCCGTATAAACAGCCAATTATAGAGTCCCCCAGCAGTTGGAGTGCATCTGTCACTCTGCATGCAAATGCCATTTCCAATCTCTCTTCACCCGCAGAGAACTGTCGCGTCTTAATGAGCTCAACCATTGAGTTTCCCCAGCAGGAACTGAAGTGTTCCGAATATAAGGTCTTTTGTCGATTTTTGTGTCTTGTTAAGTAATTAGCATAATTCCGACTCAAATAATTGTTATCGTTGAAGGAATACAGATTTTTCCATCTCATACTGCACCCGCCTGTTCGGGAAATTTTGATTAAAGCTGTCAAATTGATTCTAAAATTACATAAATCTGCTTTACGTAATCCCAAAATTGGGAAAGTATTATATAAATACTGTTTTTAAATAAGCTGCAACACAGTTTATAACCTTTTTAACCTTCGAACTTATAAGGATCTTGTAATTTAGCAATATTTAAAGAATTTTTTGCGTTAATTTTCTGGTGTTCCAAAAGGCTCTTGCATCATTTTTTTAATAATAAAAATATATTTTTTAAGCGGCAATTAAGAAACGGCAATTAAACAAACAGGCATAAATAATTCTACAGATTTAATTAATTATTAACCATTAAAAAATAATAATATTATTATATAGTTGTA